CAACTCCCAGAATTCCTCAGCCAGCCATGCTGGCTGAGGAATTCTGGGAGTTGAAGTCCACTGTCTTAAAGCTGAGAAGATTGAGAAACGCTGCTCTAAAGGAAGATTGGCCTAACCCATCTGGAAGGCATCACTTCGGGGAGAGGCTGGGGGTGACAATAAAATGCACCCGTTGAATTTCAGGGTATGCAACGGGGGGTCTCTTTCCCCGGTTCAATTAGGGGGGTTCTCGAAGAACAGAAGCCCCATCGCTATCCACGTGGGAGAACAGAACTACGGATGTGCCCGTATGCAAGAAGAACCACAGCAAAGAAGGAAGAATATTGATGCATTTTTCAGGGTCCACCCCGTCAGGAACGCAGCGCGGGTTTCGCCCGCTTGCGCTTTCCAAGCGTGCGCCAACGGGAGCTGAGCCCCTCCCAAAGCAGGATCTTCGCCAACTCCGTTCCCACCTCGGAGGGCACCCACTGAAAAATTGCAATGTTCGTGCGCCCGCTTCCTCCTCGGAAAGCTAAGATGTTGGGGGTGCCCCTTGCCCGTAGAGGTGAAGAGAGGTGCCTGGCGAACCGGAGAAGCATCAAAGCACCGCTCTGTGGCTTTATTTACAGTGGACCCACCTTCGCGTGGGGGAAATTGGGTGGGCTGCAAGACCTTACAAGGCGCTGGTTCTCTCCCCCTCGATTTTCTTGCCGTACGGGGCGGAGATGGCGGTGAAATCTTTCAGTTCGTCCTTCTCCGCCTGTTCCTCGGTGCCGTTCCTCTTGGCCATGATCCGGTTGATCTCCATAAAGGTTTTGTTCTTGGTTTCGGGGACGATGAGGAAGACGTAAATGGCGGTGGCCAAGCAGACGGCGCAGAAAATCAGGAAACAGTAGGGGCCGAGCCCTCGCTGGAGGAGAAACAAACGCACGGGAGATTTGGAAGGGAGGTCGAATTTGCGCCGGTCGGCAGCTTTTCAAAAAATGCTTATTTTGTGAGGAACCTCGGAAGGTTCAAGATCGAACCAAAGCTTTGGTTTCCTAAGGAACTATTCAGACATAAGAGTTTAAACTCCCCCCCCCATCTGACCATTCACACCCCCCAGTTGCGTCCACCAAGCCACTGCGATGGACTCGATCAACTTGGTTGAAATGAACCATGGCTTGGGGAAATGGGGTGACGCCACCTGTGCAAAGTCGGACTCCCATTTTTGTACCTTCACGCGTGTTAGCAGAATACAGGGCCGACTGCATTTTCCCGACACGAATTCCTCCTTTTGCAAAAAGTTTCAGAGCTTACAAACGATTACCTCTAAGTAGCTGAAAACAAGCCCCACGGTGAAATTCGAAAGCCAGTGCACAGAGCCTCCCACCATGAATGCAGCGGGCCGAGAGGACTGCAGGAACATTTCCATGATCATGACGCTGGGAATGGGGCCTAGAAGAGCAGAAATTGGAAAGAACAAAGGGGGTTGCCTTCATTTACCCAAAAAAATCAAATTAAACTCCACTTCCCCCACCTCCCACCTTCGCTGAGCTTCTAAGAATGCAAAATGCAATTGCCTATACTTTTCCACTGAAGTTGCTTCATGAGGACTAGAAACTATATTAAATGTCTGCATGGAAGACATTTTTGAGCAGATAAAAGCAATAAAATGTTAGAAAAGAAACCAAGAGAAATTAGAAAGTAAAAAAGAATAGTGAATAAGTAAGAAAGAAAATAGAAAAAGAAAAGAAGATTATAAAAAAGCAGCTTCTGATCTTTTTGATAAATGCATTTATACTTTACCCTCTCTTTACATCATAATTTCCTGCTTCTGTAAGCTACCTGAACTAATCATTAAACCCATAAATCACAAATTCATTTTTTCCTTCTTCAGCAAAAAGTCCGTCAGGGATTGCCAGTCACTAATAAATGCTGATCTCTCTCTTCAGCGAACAAGCTCATTTTCCCATCTCTTAATTTTGCCGTCTCTTGAGGACTAGGAACACGAAGGGGTTTCAAACCGAAGAGACTGTACCTCAAGTTCTCTTATGCAGAATATATTTACCCCAGAGAGGAGATCCATGCATCCATTGGATAAACGAAACAAACCGGTTCAAATTGTTTTAAGGATTTAGAGTAGCCCTGATGCCCAGTTCAATTACTGTACGGCCGGGCATCTGGGCAGAAACTCTGCAAACATTAAGTCAAGCTCGACTCTTTTGGATTTCATGGAATCACCCAAGTCGTTTCTTTGGGGGGGAATCTGAAAGTGCTGTTAACTTTTTGGGGGGGTTCTGGTCCAGCTCGTAGCCTCGTGCAGAGAGACAATATTCCCTACGTAGGTCAGGGTATATAATGAATATTGAGCGGACAGCGTCGATGCCCGGGCAAGCTGACCTAGATTTAAGGCCCATCTGTGTGTCCTCTGAGCACACGTCCGAACCGGGCAACGTGTCTACTCACTTGCTCCGATTGCGTGTCCGATGACGTAGCAGATTATGCAGGCGATGCTGATGTAAGGCATCCACGTGATCGTCTGGGAGGGGGAGAAATTGGCTCGAGTTAGGCCGAGAGGGAAGCACTAGCCCTGCAAGGTGGGCTAACTCTTCCTTTATTGTAAGGTTATATTCACAGGATCTTGCACACCTGAAGGAGAGCATTCTCCTGAACATTAGGGAGGGTCCCTTCTGAAGCATGTCCCACCCGCCCGCTCTCCTCCTGCAGGCTGAGAAACCTTTTACATGTCAGCCACCCCGACTGCAGCTCTTCCCCCTGTCTCCTGTGGTCATGCCCACATATCATTACGGAGAGGAAGCGTGCTATGCAGGAATCTAGGCTAAAATGATGAGACTTTTCCTGGATGCTCCACCCGGATCTTCTTCCCTTCCAGCCGATCAAAAGCCTTTTTTTGGGACAAACCTTGAGATTCAGCGCTAAGGTTAGCACCGCGCAGGCAACACAGCAGATGCCAAAGCCAGCCAGAAGCAGCACCCTTCGTCCCAAGGACTCGATGATAAAGACCTAGTTGGGGAAAAGGGAAGAGTTAGATGGTGACACCTAAAACCATAAGGCAGTTATGGGAGTCCCCCGTCCTTCTCCGGCCCTCCCGAAATCCTTCAAACTGCATTTGGCCGACAAACTGCTCTCCACGTTCCCTTCTTTCATAGCCAGGAAGAGTAAGACTTTCTGAGCCCAACTTAATTTGATTTCTGTCTGGCTTGGAAGAACCAGCCTTTCTAGCGCGGTTTTTCTTCCTCTCTCTCTCTCAAAGCAAAATCGAAATAAATCAGATCGTCATCATCCTCGTGGAGATAAGCAAGTGATGGATGGATTTCACCTCAGGTGCAACTTTCATCCGTGCGCATGCACCAAGGGGTACAAAACTGGATTGTGTAAACCAGAGTGGCTTTGGATTTAAGAATAAAAGGAAAGAAATAGGTAAAATATGATTTCTCATTCAGGTGGGAACCCCTGCAAGCCATTGCTTCAGCCTTCAAATTTTAAAGAGCTGTGCATAGCTCCTTCCCTCATCGTTTTCCAGGACTTTTTAATTTTAGTAGATTTTGGGGGGGACTTCTGTATCTTCCTTTCTTCTCTATGCATCTTGGAGTTACGTTAATTTAGTCCCTTGATCTTGTTGGCTCATCATATTTCAATAAAAGCAAATGAAAGGAAAAAAATTCTGGAAAACTTAGTGGCACCCCCAGGATGGTGATCCCATCATTGTTTGAACTAACTTAGAACTACGGTTTTTAATGTTCTAGGCCACCCTAAATCTTCATGGAGCTGGACAGCTCCAAATGTAATAAATGCTCATAAACGCTATTCATAATAACTGCTCCATTTTGCTACGGCCTACCTCCAAATTTTTACACCCCCCGTTTAGAAGTGCAAGTAACCTTTATTCGCTCAATGACCAGCACGACACAAAGAGACAGACAGAAGCTGGTCACAGCGTCTTTAAGACCGCGGTAATTCCCAAGAAGATGATTATTTTTCACCAGCTGCAAACTGGTGTCCATTTGGGTTCTTCTAAAATTCTAAAAGAATTGCAAAAGCTCATTGCAAAAGACCGCAGAGCAAGGACCTTGGGCAAGCCTTCATTGTGCCAAATAAGGAGGCCAAAGCGTAGCCAACATACCGCAACGATAGTCATGACTACGTTGACGGCTCCTGTTCCCACCGTGACGAATTGCACGTTGTTTTCCTCTATTCCTGCATTCAGGTATATTCGATCAGCATAATAGTACACCTGCAAATCAGACCGAAACAGCCTTGTGGTCAGCCCCAAGAGAACGAAGTCGACGTCCCCTGGTCTCTACTGCCTCAAGATTTCCTTGTGGTTTCCCATCCAAGGATCCCTGGGCCCCCAACAGTTTAGATCAGTATTTCTCAACTTTGGCCGCTTGAAGATGGGTAGACTTCAACTCCCAGAATTGGACTGGGGAGGGGAGAGGAAAACTCAAGACAACCCATGGCTTTCAGCTTAGAATCAAAAAAGAAACAACAGAGAAAGAAAAGGGGCTGGGGAGGGGAGAGGAAAACTCCAGACAGCCAATGGCTTTCAGCTTAGAATCAAAAAAGAAACAAGAGAAAGAAAAGGGACTGGGGCGGGGAGAGGAAAAGTCAAGACAGCCAATGGCTTTCAGCTCAGAATCAAAAAAGAAAAGACACAGAAAGAAAAGGGGCTGGGGAGGGGAGAGGAAAACTCCAGACAGCCAACGGCCTTCAACTGGGAGTTGAAGTCCACCCATCTTCAAGTGGCCAAGATTGAGAAACACTGGTTTAGATTTTTCCCCACCAGCCAGTAAAACGTGACCAATTCTTCCAACCCATCACACGCTCCAAACCCTCCTCTTTAGAGAAAAGATGCCACATTTGCACGGGTCAAGGGTGGGTCTGGATGACCTCTGGGAACCCCGACTCTTAAAGTGCGCACTGCACGATCCTTCCTTACCGCGTTAACCCCAGAGAGCTGTTGCCCCATCATCATGACGATGATAGAGATCAGCTGCCACCGAAGGCCTCGGTAGGTGAACAGGGCCAGCACCGACATTCGCCCCTCGGCTTTCTCCGCTAGGTCCTCCTGCCGCATCTCCTCCATCTCATCCTCCACGTCGTCCCGGCCTCGCAGCTTCTTCAGAGCTGAGCAGGAGAAAAAGGGGAAAATGAATCTCGCAGGAAACCCAGAGGAGACTAAAGGATACTCAAATTGTGGTTCAGCCACATCTGGGGACCACCAATGTACACATCTGCACGGGGGACAGAACTTTTACTCCTGCATGAAAGGGATGTATTAAACTGAGTCCAAACAATACCCAAGTGATGCTTCTTCCCAACATCCACCCCAGAATTATAAAGCCAAAGCTTTATAATTTTATAAGCTGGGGAAGTCTTAGAGACACTGGAGAAACTTCCCAGACCCTTTGGTTCTCACCCTAGAATCGAAAAAGTCACGACACGGAAAGAAAAAGGACTGGGGAGGGGAGAGGAAAACTCCAGGCAGCCAATGGCTTTCAACTTAGAATCGAAAAAGAAACGACATAGAAAGAAAAAGGACTGGGGGGGGGGAGAGGAAAACTCAAGGCAGACAAACCACTCGAGCATCACCGAGAAGGACCAGCTGGAAACGTACCTGTTCTTGCACTCTCCTCATCACCTTTTTGGATCAGCAGGTACCTGGGGCTCTCAGGAAAAAAAGGCAGTAGGAGGAGCTGCAACGCGGCGGGCACTCCTGTTAGGCCCATGAGGATCGGCCACCCTGCAGCGGAAGAGGGAGAAGCGTTAGGACACCCCGCGCCGCCTGCACCACTGCCCGCTCTGCAGGGGCCTCCCCGGTTTACCTTCGGCGCTTCCAAGGACCATCCGCATTCCCAGGATCTGGGCTGCCAGAATGCCCACCGTGATGAACAGCTGGGGCACCACCCCGACAGCTCCTCTGAGGTTTTTGGGGGACATCTCCCCGAGGTACATGGGGACAACGTTGGAAGAGAGCCCTGATTCGGAAACAACAGATGCAAGATAGTACAGCGGGGCGCACACCCCTCACCCCCAAAAGACGGGTTTCCTGCCAGAGGTTCCAGGCGTGTTGCGTGTTCCACGGGTAAAGGACGACCCTCCTTCCTTCTGCAACCCCTTTTCTGTGTATTTCTTTGCATTTCCCTCTCCCCTGTCCCCAACCTCTAACCCTACGCTTTTCTCTCTCCCGCTTGACTGGCAGGAGAAGCGCCATCTGGATTTGCAAACCCTGGACTTTTCTGCGGCTCTTGGGCGTGGGCATCTCGCGGGGGGCAGTTGCTGCTGGAGGGCAGACTTGCTAAGCTTTAAAAAAGCAGGTTTTCCACCTACCCCACCACACTCCCCGGCTCATTCCCCCATCCCACGCTCACCCGCTCTCTTTTTAACCCGGTCGCAGGAAACAGAGTATAAGACGGACGAGGCTGCCCCTCGCCTGAGCACTGGGGGGCTCACCTGCGCAGATGCCAATAACGATGCGGCAGATGATGATCACTTCAAAGGTCTTGGCCACCTTGGAGGTCCCCATGAGGATGGCGGGGATGATGGAGAAGATGTTGTTGATCAGCAGTGTGCCCTTTCTGGAGAGGAGGAGAACATCTCAAGAGGTTCAGAAGATTCAAGCTGGGGCCCCCACGGATGACGATCTGGCCCTCAACCCTCTTCCTCCCTAGAGAAGACGCTTCCATGCCCAACAGAAGACCACCAGATCCAGGCGGGAGGTTCTCTCTGCTTGGACACCCAACAGCCCAAGGAGGAAAGCCAAGCCAGAGGTCATCCTGGAGCTGCTCCTCTGCCCTGTCTCAACTTCCCAGGGCAGAAAATCCAGTTTTGCGTCTCCCAGGCCAGCAGGAACACCACACCCAGCCCAGAATGTGAGTTGTGCAAGCAGAGGAGGAGATCTTCCACCTACCTGCCACAGCTGTTCACCATGGGGCCCACCATCAGTGATCCAAAGAACCCCCCGAGAGGGAAGAACGACACGCTGAGAGACCAGAGGGCGGTCATCAAGTTCTCATCCATAATTTTACCATATCGCTCCTGGTAAGTTTCGTTGTAAAACTCTTGCATGAACTGGAAGAAGGAGGGTTAGAAGAAAGGACAGATCAGAGGAGGATCAACAGCCACCCAGGACCACAAAAGGTGGGGAGGGGGCTTCCGATGGGTTGGGTACCAACCCTCCCCACCCTCAGCCCACACGGCTAGAGGGCTACAGGTGGAAAGCACCAGGCTTGGCCTAAGTGGATTTAAGCAAGATTAAAAGTTTGTCCTTTGGGCTGAAACGAGTCGCTGCTCACGGCTACCTCCCTCCAAAACCTGCTTTTTTTCATCCATGATTTGTACATTGTTTGATCTGTACCGCACTAAGCCCTTAACCGCAGTTTGCAAATCACAGGTCGGCCTAATCCAAGGACGACGTGCATTTGTGTGGCTGGGACCCATTTACTAAATCGGTTAGCGGCTTTCTCTGCATTGCACACCCAGGTCTTCCCCACGAGCAGACTAACTTTAAATCTTTTATCACAGAAAGGGTCTGCTTTTTAGCTCTTATCTGCAGTTGCAGAAAGCAAAATACATCAAAAATCCCATTCTGGTCTCCGGCAACCAGATTCTTCCCTCTTTGTAGAGGCTGAGCCAGGATGCTCTGGGGACCCGAAACCTTTGAGCAAGAGGGTGCCGAAAAACAGAAGACAAGCAGGCGCTTTATCTCCAGATTATAACCAGAGACAGATGGGTCTCTGTGTCCTCAAAGGAAAATTTAAGCGGATTTAATCCAGGTTGCGCTCAAAGGACCATCGAGCCACGTCTTGCTCCGTGCAGAGAGAAGCAGAAGCCATCATCAAAAAAAAAAAGGATTTTTCTTAAGCAAACCTGGAAAAACAAGAGTTATCGGCCACTTGGGCATCTCTCCCTTCTTTGCAGTTTATAAACCCCCAATAAATGCCCCCTAAAGGGATTAAATAGCCCTTCTCCAACAAACCGGAGCGGGAGAATTGATCACGGAGACGTTGTATCCGTACTGGAAGGACGATCCGAAGGCAGCTATGAGGGTCACCAGAGCGAGCATCACCGTCATTCTCTGCAAAGGAGGGGGACAGGGTTACTCAACCATCACACGGGGAAGCCAACCCAAGAGACCGAATTGAAACCATTCTAACCGACCCTCCCGGGAGCCGTTCTTGCCTGCCTCAGTCTTCCCATCTGCAAAATGGGAACTTTACTTAAGGAGATTAACTCTGAGAGCCCTCCCAACGAGCCAAGCGGTGGCAAACCCTTCGCACATCTCAATAGTATTTTTAATGCATGCAAAGGAAACCGGGGGGGGGGATTTCAAATCCGCCTGGCTTTTGCACCTACATCACCGCTGCGGTTCACACAGAGACACCCCCCGTCCCGGGACAGAATTGATGGCGAGCTGGCAGTCCGCACGTTGTGACTTCCCCACCCAAAGAGTGAAATAGCCTTTAAAAATGTTTATTGCAGGGTCTCCTGCCCAGTCATCCTTCCCAAAAGATCCCTTGCAGATCCCCACGTGGTCCTCCCGTCTCCCCCCATTTCCGCCCCCCCAGGAAGAAAACTGCACTCACCCCCTTCCTGGGTTCTTGGGGCTTAGACAACGGCATTTTAACTCTTTTCTGCCCCGCGGACCTAAGCAGAGGAACGGAGAAAGAATGAAATAAATCCCACGGAAAGGGTTATAAACACGTGCAATTACATGCAATGAGTAAGAGGAGTTGGTGACGCAGAGCAATTTATTTTACAAGCTGTCCTGGATAAAATTGACACCCTGGGCCTTTCCGACCTTCCACCTCTGGATCGGCGAGCCAAGAGGCTTCGGGGTGGGAAAACCGCTCTCTGGGCCTTTGTTGCGGGACCGGCTGGAAGAAGAGACGGATTCCAGTCACGCTTTGCACAGCAGGAAGAAAGGAAGAAAAATCCTTTGTTTGATAAGCTGCAGCCACCCCCAGTTCCCCAAAAATCTTCTTTATTCGGCTCTGGAGACCCTACACAGATCCCTTTCCCAAGGACTCACTAATGCCCCCATTATTGTCCTTAAAACAACACAGCAGAGGCGTGCCAGGCCCTTCCAGGTATTTGGTACCCCATAATCACAGCCTGGGGCTTATTGGAATTGTAGTTGAGGGCCTCTGGAACTTTTGGGCTGCAGAGCAGGCGTTCAGACTCTTTGCCTCTCAAGTTTTTAAAGCTAGCTTTAAAAAGGGGGGGGGGGTGAGAAAAAAAAATAGGGAGCAGAGTTCCACTTAGTGCCTTCAGGATTAGAAGCAGCAAATTCCAGAATCCCTTGGCAGTTTTTAGGGACCAGGATTTGGAAAACATCTGGATGATGGGGTTAGAAACAGGATGCTGTTTGGGGAAATTATTTTTTTTGTCCACGAAGAGTTGCCCGTTCCAAACAACAGCTCATTACGGCCAGAAGGCGCCTGTGCTCCAAATATCCTATTCAAAAAGCCTACTGGGGGCCCCGGCTGGGGCTGATAGGAGTTGTAGTCCAGTCCTCAAGCCATAGATTGCCAAAGAACACTTCCAATTCCTTAATGTGCAGCCAGGACCCCAATCCATCAGGTCAAGAGGGGATTCTCGAAGCGAGGACATAATTTGCTTTCTGCTGCGTGATGTTTGCAAGGGGAGTGGGGGGCGCACGATGCCAAGGGGAAACTCACAGCCGTTTCCTTGCGCTCGGAAATTTCTAAAGCTTTTCTAAATCTTTAGAAAATAAATTTCTAAAGAAGCAGAGAAGGATGAGCAGAACCTCCAGGCGGGAGGAGCCATCAGCATTTCCAGCTAAAAATGCAGTATTTAATTTTGAAAAAGGGTTTCCCTAGAGCAAAAAAGCCAAAAACCTAAAACAGCCAACTGCTTTAAACTAGAGAAACGATCCACGAAGGTTTATTCATTCCAAATAACTCAAGTATTTTCCTCCCCTCCTTTCTCCTGGATTTTTCCAAACCTTTCCGCTTCAATATTTCCCACCATTCCCCCCCTCCCTCTCTTGGATTCGTCTGGGGGGCCCCATCATCCCCAGCTTCGCTGGCTGGGGGGGGTGGGGGGTCCCGCCCCCCTGGGGGGGGGGGGGGGGGGGG